ATACAAACCTGTGGAACCGTCATTAGTTGAAGAAAGAATGCAGATTCTGCGCGACCGTTATGCGGAGCTGAAAGATTTAGCTGCAGAGCGCAAAGCTCGGCTGGAGGATAACAAGCGTTTGTGCCAGTTCTGGTGGGACGTGGACGAACTCGAGCATAACTTAAAGGACATGGAACAGGTGCTGACGTCGCCGGATACAGGCCGTGATATGGTTTCGGTGTCGCTTCTACTTGCTAAGCACAAGAATGCAGAGCAGTCGCTGGATATGGTCGGCAAACGACTGGATGATCTTGAAAACGAGGGTGCACGACTTCAGGATGAACGGATTCCAGGTGAGCCGTAGCTGCTTCACGGAAAACAGTAGGTTTCCTTCCATACTTTTTTCCAAGTGCTTGTGCATGGAGTTTTGAGTGTGCGGGGTCAGTTAACCTCTGATTGTTTTGGTAGGTGCCGCTGTTTATTCTGCAAGACACCTGATGCCATGTTATTTCGAATAAAAAGGCACTTTCACTGCTGGCTGTTATAAGTTTGTTCAAATCCTTGCTACGTTGTATATAGATGGGGAATGGTGGCATACTGCCGGCGACTATAATCTGCTTGCAGTAATTGCAGCAGTTGTCCCTTTACGAGTTCACTGTGAAACAACTTGAAAACAGTTTAACCGCCACCATTATCATTTTCACGAGTCCACTGGTGATTGGCGACTTCAGCCTTAGAATAGGCTCAGCTTTTGTTACACTGCACCCATCAGTCGCCGCTAGTTTGCTTTTGAAATTCTTTAAGCCGTAGGTTTGTCAGTGGGGGCGTGAACTGGCAGAGAGTTGTATGGGCACGACCACTCAAACTTTTCATCTAGGAGCATAGCTGCTCCTATTGATACATAGAATCTTCTCTCGCGGCCGTTCGTTATCTGTTTGTGTTGTAAAATTGATTAAGTTCAATCCCAGCAGTTACACCAGCCAAGTATTGTTAGAGAATTTTGAATTTCGTCTTTCTTCGATTTCAGCACTTTTTTTTTCTCCTATTTCCAGGCTCAGAAGCAATAAATGATCGTTTGGCGACAGTTCGTGATTATTTCAATAAACTTAAAGAGCTGGCAGCTGAGCGTCACCTACGTCTAGCCGGTGG